CGCCCCGCCGCGCCTGTTTCTCTTAGGTTGTTACTTTTCATTTTCGTCGTCGTTTTTTTTTTTTTTTTTTTTTTTTTGGGCCCGTTCTTTGAGGACTACCGATTGCACGTCGGTGGGTACCCCGCGCGACGCGGCGCATTAACAACGGCCGCGTCGAATTCTTCAAGCAGGGAGAGGTACTGGTGGTTTAAGAAGAGGCTCAATGACAATTCTCAACTTGGCTGGGGCCATGTACTGGTGGTTATACTCGAAGTATGCCTTTTCTTTAGTTTTCTTTTTTTTATTAAAAAAAAATCGTCCAGGTTGTTGTAGAGATTGGCTACCAGGCATATGACAGACCCTTCTGCCACTGACCATTTGATCATCCCGATGTGTTGCCTCACCAATCTTCTATGAGACACCCTCCCACACCCTTACTCGTCATCACGATCCCCAGTGCCCAGTGCATCCCTACTTCCAAGGTCCTACCTTAGCATACCCATGATCATCACCCATTCTAGTGACCTTTGACAGGACAGCCATTTTAGGCATCAGGGCTAAACAGGTTCTCACCTCCCTATCCAGCCCTGATTGAAGCACTAACAAACGAGCCACCACGCACTTGAAAAGCACTCGGGGTAAGCATGCCGCAACAAGTCCCATAGGCGAACCCTGGTTTTTTCCTGTTAGAGAGATCCTAGTCATATCATCAGCAGATCCCTCTGGTTATTATCCTCAATTCTTGCGGAGGTTATTCGAACCTAGAGCATCTCCAGTTCCCGTCCTCGGTCGACTTAACTCCCCGTACCTCTCTCATCAACTGGATGTCTATGCATTTTATTAGCACCCCCCATAATAGCTCTAGTTTCCATCCTCCTAAGTGGGTTCACCATCACCATCCGCTCCCCCAACCTTTATCATCAACGAGAACTACTCTGGGTTATTCTAATCTGACAGCATTCTCCATGAGGAAGAAACAAGGACGAGCAGATGAAACCCTCCTCGGAGGAAGAGAGTCACAAGATGACCGATCGCTCACCACTGTGTCACTGATGACCGATCGCTCACCACTGTGTAACTGATGACCGATCGCTCACCACTGTGTCACTGACGATCGGTGCTTGCATGGACCCCCCTTCGATGTCACATGGGATGCTTCGAATCCCATGGACTTTACCACGATCGGATGATGGCCGATGCCCCGGCATCACTTCGACCTCCTCCGACCTGTTCTCATGAGCAGGTGGTGCGGAATGCTTCGCAAGAACAGGAGTGAGCATCCCGACAGTGCCTGAGGACGAAGGTGCAATGCCATCATTGAATGGGGAGCCACAGTGTCTCTTCCCTGTCCGCCTCCTCCCCTTTCTCCTTCTCTTTGTGTCGAAACATGAGAGTCCCACTGCATAGCCCGCAAGCGCAAGCGCTCCCTCATGGCCTAAGACTCTAAGAGTACCCGAAGCACACACTCCGAACAGGCAGCAGCACAAGAACCGTACGGTGCCAACCCGCAGCAATGATTCCCCCTTCCCTTGTCTGGGCGAGATCCCTCTGGCAAAGAGCATTGTAGTAAGTGTCTGCATGTGGACTTGTTTGTGGACAGGTGCGAAAAATTGTCACTTGATCTACTTTCCCGCATCTCTGTGTAGGTCCAGATTCAGACACTTATTCCAATCCTCTTTGCCAGTGGGATCTGGCCCTAAGTACGTTTTCAACTGTCTCTGCAACCGCGTCAAAAACGCGCAGAGAGATGGACGACATGTCAGAACTCCAAGCAACTTCTTTTCGTTTCTGTGGGACCATTTCTCGATTTATGCGTGTCATCCTTGAAAGCGCAGGGGCCATGCTAATCTTCTCTGTATCGTTCCAATTTTAACGGATGTCCCGAAGGACTACCGTTACGGTGCCAACCCGTTTCTGTGTTTTCGTCTCTCCGAAAATTTTAATATCGTATTTTTTTACAATCTAATCCTCCGCATTAGTAAGAACAAAAATGATACCGCATTTAAAAAAAAAAAAAAAAAAAAAAAAAAATGATACCGCATTGTGCTGCACGAAAATTGCTGTAGGTCTTGGGATGGTTATGAACGGGAGTATAGTACATGACACATAGTAGCTGTTAGCAATCGCCTCTAGCCTACTTCGACAAGACTGTGACTTTTGGACATAACGGATCCTCTTCTTTGAACTTGGCCGATGATGTGATGCCTTGTTCACAGGAGAGCCCAATAATCTTTTGTGAGGGACACAGGGCACGTTTCCCGGCTTGTCATATTAAAAAAAGAAAAGGAAAGATTCTGAAGAAAAAAAATGATACCGCACACATGTCGTGCGCAGGCCACACACTGTCACACCGGAGAGACCATGACTCGATTCGTTCGCTAGTGGGACCATGCTCCTGATGATTCCCTGCCAACTGAGTGTCGCTGCACACAACACCACATACTTAACAAATCATGTCTTTTTTTTTCTCTCTTTTTTTTTTTTTTAAAGCAAGCCAAGACGCACAATCCTTGAACAACTTTTGGGATCTTTTGGAATCTTTTCGAGTCCATAGACCCACATGCATCTTCTAGAAATCTTTTGGCCCACATGCATCTTCTAGAAATCTTTTGGACCACATACATCTTCTAGAAATCTTTTGGACCACATGCATCTTCTAGAAATCTTTTGGACCACATACATCTTCTAGAAATCTTTTGGACCACATGCATCTTCTAGAAATCTTTTGGACCACATGCTGTCTCAATTGCGTCATGGGCATTGAAATCCAATTCAAATTCCAAAGTTCAAATCGAATAATTTCCGTACGCAAAAACAAATCTCAAAATCCGCTCCTCCGTCAACACAATACTCCGCCGAATCAGTTGGTAAACCCATAAGCTGTTGAAATACAGAATCCAGGTGAACTAGATGAACGAAATCAAATAATTGAATAATTCTGAATTCCCGGCGGCCCCTCTGTTCGACAATGAAATCTCAACTCCGACACCCTTCCTTTAAAAAAAAAAAAACAAAAAAAAAACACCTCTGCTACCATTCATTTTCATCAGTTTCGAGCGCACTGATTCCCCTCTGCTACCCCATTCTTCCCCTGAATTGAACGTACGGTCCTTATCACTGTATATGGACTGGAAATTGACCCAAATGCAGATACAATGACACGTACGTTTACGTTTGATTTGGGGGAAGACGGTAGGACGAATAGAAGGATATGCCTGAGAGTCTCCCTGCCGGGTTACCTGCTGTGCTGCTTTCCGCTGTCGAAGCCTTACTTAACTGTACAGAGTTCCAGTGACTCTCTCAGAGTCTCTTCCCTGTCCTCCTCCTCCTCCTTCCTCCACCCCCCTCCTCCTCCCCTTACTGTTTCTTCCAAATCCTTTGACATGCCATCATCATCCATCAGGCATCGTACGCCATCAACTGGTCGTCGCCTAACACCTCCGAAAGTGCTGCAGGTCTCGTCTGCTCTCTGCACGTTGTGAAATGCGATGCCTAGCAACGAGCCGGAGTCAGACATGCACGATGCAGCAATACAACGGCTGCACATCACGATACCCGCTTGTTATCGATGATGCAGGGCTTCTTCATGGCGCTGTAATCACATTCGTTTGTTTTTGTTTTCAATGTTCACACCTGAGGGATTTTTATACACCACACATGAATTAACTGCACTTTTTTATCCGCCCAGAAGGATCACCATACCGCCCATCTTCTCCGTACAAGCCCCCCTTACCGGGTGCCGAACACATCGAGGGGGGTGCCGAACACATCGAGGGGGTGCCGAACACATTGACGGGGGTGCCAAACACATCGAGTCGTCAACCATACACCATCACGCCGCCCAGGTATTGAGAAAACGATCGTCTCCCCGTTGGAAACTTTTTTTTTTTTTCCGTCTCCGTTGAGCTCTTGTCCATGATAGATAGATCCATCAACTTCCGCGTCAAGTTTGAACTAGACTCCTTGTCCTGTCTACTAAGAGGCATAGTCGTTGGGATGTGCAGGGCGAGAGCACATATACTGCTGCCCGCTTCTCTCTTGTAGTTCCCACCACCGATTCCCGACGCAGGGCGGGACCATTCATGGCTCTTGTAACTTCTTCATGGACATCTGCTGTGCTGCGCTATTGAGAAAACGCTATTGAGAAAACGAGAGTCTCCACGCACACATGTGCCACAAGGATGCATACACTGCACGATAGTCTCGACGGTAACGAGAAGAGGGAGCGGGGACTCCGCATCCGCAGCCCCAGTGACTTTATAACATATCCGAGCGCGAGTCATCCGAGAAGGCGGGCGCTGTTCATCAATTGTGTTTGAAAATCCTCAATGTGTTTGACGTCATCAATTGCTTGACCTGCTCCAAGCTCAAGGAGGATGCACATCTCACTTTTTTTCGCACTTTCCAAGGCCGTCTACATCAACATCCTTCCTCGCTTTCACTTCTGCCACAGCTGGGTCGCTTTTTTAAAAAAGTATCCCTCTACTCCACCAGGCAAGGCAATTATCCAGCCATATATTATCCTCCCACTGCAAATTCCTATCAGCACTGTCCTCCCCACACTGCACATCTGAGGGCCTTCAAGAGAGAGAGGCAGAGGGCGGGGCAAGGCCGGTGGGGTTGAGAGAGAGAGAGAGAGAGAGAGAGAGAGAGAGAGAGAGAGAGAGAGAGAGAGAGAGAGAGAGAGAGAGAGAGAGAGAGAGAGGTCGCGTCCTTCACTCTAACTCCCCTCTCCACTCCAGAACTCCACTCCATGGAGCGACAGGCATACCAAGAATGGGGCAATGAATAGCCATGTCCTGTCGAACATGCAGCGGCTTGTACGTATTCTGTCCCAAGCTGACCAACAGAAAAATAAGACGGGGAACGATGAATTGCAGTCTTGCAGATGATACCCTTGCAGGCCAGCACCGTGAGAAAAAGGGGGAGAGAAAAGCACACAGCAATGAATATCATAGGGTGGAGCCAATTCAGTGAACCGTCGCGGGGAGTCTCCTGCCCTCCTCCTCCTCTGCCATCCTCCCAGAGCACCTTCTATCACGTCCCTCCCGTCCCYCCCCCCCCCCMCACCCCGCCTCACCACCCTCTCGCACGCATCTGGTTCTTTCCGTAACCCTGAAACATCCTAGATCAGGGCTCTGAGGAGACCTTTTTTTTTGGCTTTTCGCTTAGACCTTGGCTCATTTCTCTTTCTCGATTTATGCGTGTCATCCTTGCGCAGGGGCCATGCCAATCTTCCTTCTCTGTATCGTTCCACTTTTAACGGATGTCGTGCGAATGCCGGCTCGCTACTTGTCCTGCGGATGGACGATGAGAGTTACGGCTGTCAGAAAGCTGACGGATCTCACGCCCCTGTTTGACCACCATCCTGCTCATCCGTAATCGCTGGAAGACATATGGAAGTCGTGACTGCTGACGGATCTCATGCCCCTCCCTGTCTGACCACCATCCTGCTCATCCGTAATCGCTGGAAGACATATGGAAGTCGTAACTGCACATTCAGCGCACAGAGGGCAGCTGCATTCTGATCACGATGCTGCTCCTCTGTAATCACTGGGACGCGTGTGGTGGATGTCGTGACTGCGCATTCAATCCACACGACAGCTCCATTCCTTGAATGAAACAATCTTCCAAATTAATTCGCCGATTTCGCCGATCAGCAGGCTTGCGACTTCGAGTAAGCGAACAGAGAAGTTTTGCTTTTCGTTCGATGAAACAAATCTTCCAAATTACTTTTTTTTTTTGCTTTTCGCTTCGACCTTCCAGCTTGGCAATTGTAACGCACAGGGATGTTCAAAATTGTTGTTTTCGCTTCCAAGTTTTTTTCGACGAATCAATCTTCCAAATTAATTGGCTACTCAGAAGGCTCGTCATAGGTCACAGCAATGAGATGATGGAAGAGACTGTGCTTCTTCAGGGCGCGTCGACTGGCACGGTCTCCGGAAAGGGTGTACTTGTCAGCGGCACCGCCATGCTGATCAGCTCCGCTCGCAGGCCTTCGAAATATACTCTGCCTTCGCCACTTCCCGATACTGGTCGGTACTTCACCAGCGCTGCTGGGACGAGTTCCGCGTCCTCCAGCGTTGGAGACAGTTGTCCCGGTGGTCCCTGTTCCGGAATCACCGGTTTCTTCGTCGGATAAGAATACGTAAGATTGAAGGGCTGGGATGGATCTTCAAGTGTGGATCGTGTGAACTGCCATTGTCGTCAGGAAGACGAGAAGAGAGAACAAGCAAAGAAGAGAGAGGAGCTCATCAGCAGGGCGTATAAGCATCATATCAATAAACCCTTGACCCCACCAAAAAAAATTGAGCGATCCGTGAAGACAGCGAGAGACCCCAAGCAGTTCGTTTGCTCCAAAAAATGGCTTAAGAAGATCACAACTAAAATACAAATCACCAGCCGCTGCGATAGTTAGCTTGCCCCCCCCTAGTCGGTCTTGGTAGGGTCCTGTGTTCTCTTAGAGGCCCTATTCCCTACCATCCCCCACTGGGGTTTAGTGGAAACTACCTAGGGTTAGGCTGTTCCCTCTAGGCTCAGGCTGTTTCCTGTACCCGGTACATCTCGGTTGCTCTGCTATAGATAATAGGTAGGTAGTGCGATAATAGGTAGGTTGTGCGAGGTATATTAAGTGAAGAATGTAGCAGATATCGGTTCCTCCGCTATAGATAGGTAGGTAGTGCGAGGTATATCTGCCTAGCATTGTGTTCGCGTCCCGTGACCGAACCCGAACGTTCTTGGTTGCTCCGCTATAGATAGATACGTAGTGCGAGGTATGTTATGTGAAGAATATAGGTCAGCGTAGCATTGTGTTCGCATCCTGTGACCGAACCCAAACGTTGGCGACCGAATGCAAACAAGCGCCAAAACCCTCCGAACGCGAAGATAAAAATATTAAAAATAAAAAATTATCAGAAATATCTGCAATATATATCGTCACAAATAGAACTGCCCGGTAAACCGTAGGCAGAGAGAGAGAAGAGGACAACAAACGAGGGGCTGTGACAAACTGTTTCGTCGGAGTTTCACCGACTCATCAGGAGGCTGAACCCTCAACAGTCTGCAGAATCCCCTCACTGATTACACTGTAAATGATAATCTACCTTAACCAAAATCAAAGTAGACTATCACTCACCCACACCAGATGGAAAACTCTACAGACTGTCGGTTCACACCCCATTACAAGCCAGCAAAACATCCACGAAACAAAGAAAGGTCTGTCACAGCCAAAAAATACACTCCAGACACGCCGCTGGCACTAGAGGCACAGCATGGCTGCCTAGTAACGGCCCCGACCACTGCCGCTCGACCTGACCGGAAAAAACCGTCGCAGGAAGCTAGCGAAGTCGTAGTATATATCGTCACAAATAGAACTGCCCGGTAAACCGTAGGCAGAGAGGGAGAAGAGGACAACAAACGAGGGGCTGTGACAAACTGTTTCGTCGGAGTTTCACCGACTCATCAGGAGGCTATATATATAACATATATGTTATGTAAAATAATAAGACAAACAACTTTTGCTTGGGAGGTATACCCAAACTTAAGTTAAAAATCAAGAACCTAAAAAAAGAAAATTAAAAAAATCAACAGAAGAAAAAATAAATCATTAAAAGCTAGGCTACCAGCCGGGCCGCCCGGGTCACTTTATTTTCCCAGGCAGCCCGGCCGTGCAAGGACCCAGGAAGGTCCCAAGAAAGAAAAATATGTTCCGGCCGAGCAAGTGGTCCCGGGCCACTCTGGTAGCCTAGATTAAAAGTAATAAAAACATTTAAAACAATCATTAAGAAAAATATGTTTGCCCGAACACCTTCAGGAGGCGTTCGCCCGAACACCCAAACATGTTCGAAGCCGCGAACACGTTAGGTGTGCTACACAGGTTTGTACACTTTCATTATCAGGAACAATTCCAATGTTCAGGGACGCTGGACCCGCTTTCCAGCTAAGAGAAGAGGGGGGGGGGGGGGGGGGGGGGGGGGGGGCGGGACTGAAAATACAAATATGAATTGATGGTGGCAAGGTACTAGAGGTTCCAGGTTTCCATTATAAGTGTGTCAGGGCATACTCACACTAGCACTTTCCAAAATGCACCTGACTGCAATTACGGCCAGACGTGCACGAACCTAACCGCAATTACGCCTACAGCGTTGAGGAAAAAGTCCTATAGTGAGTATGCCCTCAGTGGGTAGTAAGGGGCCAGACACTCAGCACACTGTAAAAAGAAAAAGAAAACCGAAAATACATCCAGCACACAGTACATGGGCTGTTGTCCTGTCTTTTCGCCATGTCATCACTGTTTCTTTTTTTTTCTTTGCAGATCCAAATGTATTACAATAGGCCAAATCGGGGTCGGGAACCCCACCCCACAATTCAACCCGCGGAGTTATCCTGGCAGCATCACCAGGTTCTTCTTAATCCATCCTCCTTTTTTTTTCTTTTTTTTTAAACCATCCTGCTCTTATGATAATATTAAAATCATGTACGTTTGTGGTATTAAAATGCGCAGAGTCTTTCTTTGTAAATAATAATAATAATAATAATAATAATCATAATCATAAACTATTAATAATAATAAATAATAATAATAATAATAAATAATAATAATAATAATAACAACTAAGTCTCTGATTTGCAGCTGAACAGAACACTCACGATATACTCGCTGAATGTGAGATGCTCGTGGGATGGGATAATTGCCTGGATGTGTTCGGCAAGAGGCCAATCCACTACAAGATCGCACGTCTTCCCTCTTACAGCAACATCGAATATTATACGTGCCAGGACATTGACGAAACAACGCCACAAAGGGTCCATCAGCTCCAACCCTGAGCCAGACCCTTAAATGACGATATATATTGTCACAGAACTATTGACTAAGAGGGTAAGCAGGTGAAGTAAAGGAAGAAATAAGATGAGCGAAGAAAAGAAAAATGAAAGGACAGACAGGCAAAGAGACAGACAAACCAGAATGACACAAACCAGTGTCCTCTTATTCTTTGTTTCACTCAGTGTTTTACAAAAAAAATTACACTGAACAAGGGATAAAAATAAAAAACAAAGACACATTGAAATCATTCAGTTTCTCAGTCTTCTTAACGCCTCCTCCACCGTGCCTCTATACATGTATATATGTCGTCAAACAGAGCTTCCCGGTAAACTGTAGGCAGAGAGGGAGAAGAGAACAGCAAACGAGGGGCTGCGACAAACTGTTTCGTCGGAGTTTCACCGACTCATATTATATTATATATTTCCTTGTGTGTGCAATCATCCTCGACTTCTTCACACTTGTCATCCATGCAAACAGCGAAACAACAAACTGGCGACATGCGCCCACACAGTACTCAAAGATATCGTAACCAGGTAAGAGTTCTCTCCAAACTGGCTATGGCGACTGAGCGCCCACACAACTCACTGTTCGCACTCTGGATCACCCTGGATGTCCCACACGCACACTCAGTGTTCATACCCAACACCCATACAGTACACAAACTCTGCACTCTACACTGAGCTATG